AGAGAGAGAGAGAGAGAGAGGGACTTTCAGGACTGCAAAGGGCCAGATGTGCTAGCAGTTAAGCTGCTATCTTGTGGATCATGCTGTGCTCTGCCCATGCACAGAGAGAGAGAGAGAGAGAGAGAGAGAGAGAGAGAGAGAGAGAGAGAGAGAGAGAGAGAGAGAGAGAGAGATTTGCGACATTGATATTCGGACTTTACATTTGAGCAGCGACATTGTGGGGGACTATTTTGGGGTCCGGATCGACGACATTTTGGGTTGACGAAATCTCTCCTTTTCTTCCCCTCTTGGTCTCTCCTGTAACGAGCGTGAGGCTGAGGGTGAGCCGAGGGAGAGGAGAGAGAGGGAGAGAGTGAGAGCACACACACACACTCGACTCACTCGACACGACAGACTCGGACTGAGGATCGGGCGCAGACACAGTGGCAAGGCACACAAAGTCGAAGTCTTGGATTCCGAATGCCGAAACAGCAAGTCACACTGAGTACGAGTACAGCAGCGGGGAACTGGTACGAGACTGGGCCCCGTACCGTACGGGGAGCCGGTATAAGTACCGGTGACACGTACGGTACCAGGGGCATTTCTGCAAAGGCTCCGAGGGCAGAACTGAAAAATGCAGTATTTGAAAGTGGCGCCCGAATTGCAGCATGGCRCCAGTTGTCCAAAATCCTACGGTACCAAAGGAGGGGTTTGGAAAAAGGGTGCCAGGCCGAAAACGGGATGCAGCTGAAACAGCAAAAGATAGACCAGGGATCGAGCCCTGGCGGAGTCCGTAACATCTCCCTCCTCATGCGTGTATGGATTGAGTCTGGCGCCTTCTTCCTTGTGTTCTCGCGCCAGGCCACTCACATAGTGTGATGATGATGATGATGATGTTCAGTCTGTGTCACGACATTGATTTTGGGCCAGATTATTGGTATTGCAGTCTTCCGCTGTGCTAGCATTGCTCCATCTTTGAGAGGTCGGTTCTTGGTTCTGGTCTGCGCCATTTTGGCATGCGATAAGCCATCTTCCTTGTGCTTAGCTCTTTGGCTGGGAAACTTGGTTCAAGTCTTCTGGATGGTCGTATGGTCGTAATGAAATTGAAAAGAAACAGGTCGTATGGTTGTAATGGATTTGGAAAGAGATTTACTTACCTTTGGCTTGGTCGTAATAAAATAAAAAAGAGATTTACTTAACTTTAGTTTATTTCTGTTCATGTCCTTGACCTAATGTGATGCTGCAGGAGCTCAAGCGTGTCAAGGATACGGAGAAAGCACAGCATCAAAAGGTAAGCCAGAATCCGTCTACTGTGTACGCTTGGGATTTCCTGTCAGGAACTGATTCCTTCGGTTATCAGGCAGGCAATAGGATGTATGTTGGTTGTTTCCGTGGACAATTTTGATATCCATATCTGGCCCTTGCTGTCTTAGGTGCTAGCAGAAGCAGCCTATTGCTCTCTATCCTTCCTTATGTTCTTTGACGTTGGCTATAGCAGGCATGGACACTGGACCTGTCTGGGGACTGAAATCTGCTCTGCACTCACCAACATCTGGATGTCTGGACCAAATCATTCTCAATGGCTGTTTCTCAAAGTCAAGTCGGACTTCTGAAACAGCATTCACCGGAAC